TATTCACTTCAGGCTGGTACAGCTGATTTCAGCTGTATATCGGCTGAAATCAGCCGTACATCGGGTGGCTTCGGGTCGGCCGAACATGCTCAGCATGTTCGACAGCTGAAATCAGCCGTACAAGCCTGAAGTGAATCGCCAAACAGTGTTCGGCTCACTTCACTTGGGGTCGGTTGTTCACTCGGCTGCCCTCGGCTGCTTAGTGAATAGACCCCATAAATGTAATCATAGCAGATTACATTGTTTTGTGTGTATTCTGTGTATATTGCATGTTTTCATTTTTGAATTTCCAGCCGGCTCCGCCCCCCACTGTGACGCCAAAAACGAAACTAAAAGTCAGATGCCGGCATCGGCCGGCCGCGCACAGCAGAGGACAGTGCAGGCTGACACTTTTGTGCAATCCCGAGTGTGGCTCGGGGTTACCGCTATTGGTACTGAAAATTAACCCCAAGCCACACTCTGGAAAACCGCCAGGGAGGTTAAGATTAGTGGAGGTGATGTTGCTTTCCTTTTGTATACCCAATCAAGCAAACTTTAGTGATTTTTTTTGTTTTGCTTTCAAATCATGCGATTATTAAAGTGAGTGCAGGATCACCACATTATACCATCTTTGAATGGAAGCAGTCATCTCTCTGCAGAGGTCCAACATGTCCCATGCTGATTCAGAGCGAGAACTCTCCAATCAGTATGGAGTATGTATTTTGCTGATTACAGAGCTCTATATTTACACAAAAAGAACAAGGTTCCTTTTCTATGACATGCAAGGCACAAGTTCCTTTCTAAAGAAAGTGAACTGTAAGACTTGGCACATTTTTTGTTTTCATGTACCTGGAATGTAAGTAGGTTACTTAAAGTGACACTAAATGTGGGAGTTAAAGTTTAAAAATGCATTCAAGTACCATACTGATTTAACAAAAATGTAGATTATTTGTGTATAGCTCATCTATAGATCCTCAAATAATCTCTGAATTGGTGGTGACACTGTACTTCCTTCCGGAGGGTGACTACTTTGGTCCCTATGGTCCCAGTGTGTGTAATAATGAGGTCACCGCTCCAAGCTCACTCCTGTGATGGATTGCAATCTCAATACAAATTAATAAAATACACATGAGGTTGTAGTCCATCACAGGAGTAAGCTTGGAGTGGTGACTACATTACAACACACACAGGAACCATGGAGAACAAAAGTAGCCACCCCCAGAAGGAAGGAGTGACAGTGTCAGTATGAATTCAGAGATGATTTGAGGATCTACAGCTGAGTGATACACAAATAAGATATATTTTTGTTAATAGTTAGGGTACTTGAATGCAATTTTAAAATAATTTTTTTGAATTTAGTGTCACTTTAAATTGCATTTCAAAAGTAGTTGTCCTTTAACACATCTACTACTTTTTTGGCTTAGAAAAAGGGCTTATTGTCAATGGTCATATGTATGTACAGGAGTTTGTGCTGTCATTGACATCTCAGGACTCCAGATGGTCAGTAGCCAGGTATTGACAGCGCTTGTCTCTCCAGTCTATTCCAGTCTATAACATTGCTTATTAACAGCCAGAGCCCTAAATATCCTGGATTCTGTCATTCTACATCAGGTGTCCATGTGATGACTAGTGTCTTGCAGACATTATGAACTAGCTGGGCTGAGCGGGCACAAATTAGCTGTCAGAAGCCGTTTCTGAAACTGTTGAATTATTTCCTGCCATTGTTTACTAGCCTGCACAATCTGGAAAAAAACATTCTGGGAAACCTGGCAGCTTGTTGTAAATATAAATATTGTACAACATTTCCTATATCAAATATACAGTTTTCTGTTGAATCTCTCTGTTTCCCATTCCAGTACAAGCCCAGCTTCAAAATGGTTAATGCTTTGTTTCTTTGAAGCTCCAATATTTTCTGTTTGAATGCACATCAGAAGAAAAATCAATATAGAAAGTAGGGTGAGGCGAATCAGTGTTTATTTTTCTGCTTATTTTGACAGCAGATGACATTTGAACCTGTAATGATATATCACAATAAAGGCATGTTGTAATTGCTAATGAGGCCAGCCCTGCATCCAAAGAAAAAAAGATTAAAAAAAGGCAAACAATTTACAAATGAATGACAGTATTTTTTTTAAATTGTTATTTTAATGCCATGTGTTTCCCTAAGGGCATTGTTACTGGGATGGAAACATGTAGCAAGCCCCTGGGTCTTTCTCTGACGTCTTACATTGTGTCGCATAAAAGAACTGTGGTTTGTTACTGAAGATCAGCTAAAATTATTTACTTCAGGTACATATGCCCAGATTATAAGCATCAGGATTGACGTAAAGTATTGGCATTCTTCCCAGGAATGTTGTAAAAAGAGCAGAAACTAGTTGGCTTTGAAAAAAAGTGTTGTGTTAGGTTGTATGCATAATCATTTTTCCTAATAATATTGATGATATGTTTATATACACTTTGGATGTTTTTGTCTTTATAGGTTTGAAAACTCCTATCAGGGTTATTCACAAAAGGGTGAAGCGTTTGGAGGAGGCAGGAGAAGTGAACAATCTAGGACAACATAGCTGATTTGGAAAAATTATCCAATTCAGCTCACTTTCCAAATCAGCTATTTTGGCCTAGATTGTTCACTTCTCCTGTCTTCTCCAAACTCTTCATCCTTTTGTGAATAACCCTGTATGTATCATACTTTTCTTTGTAGTAAATTGTGTCAAGTTTTACTTTTATAATAAATAAAACTTCTAAATACAAATATGCTCATAGTATAACCTCCAGGCTGGAAAATTAAATTGCACCCTAAGAAAGAAAACCTCTACACATTGTTTTCATCATTTCTTTATTTGTTTTGTTACAGATATCAGATCACTTTGTTACTAGCAATACTAAATCACACAGTTTATGAGCTTGTTTATTCTGAGCGTGTTAAATGTACTAGTGGTTGATACCAATAGGTTGTGTTTCAGTCCATTATGTTGTCTTATATCTTTTAGGTTTTGTAGTCTACCCAAATGTATTATAAATTGTTTTTTGGGGGGATAGATAGGGCTTTAATTTGGTAGCAGATAAGGATACATATATTTTTAGTTGCTGGAAATACATAGTACAAGAAAATGCATTTTACTGTAATTTTTCCTAACATAATGTTTACGTAATTGTTGCAGATTGTAAGATTAAGAGGGTTATTCACAAAGCTGCCAAAGGCAGCCAAGTGAATAACCCAGCCGAAGTGAAGTGAGCCGAACGTTGTTTGGCTATTCACTTCAGGGTTGTATGGCTTAGTTCAGCCGTACATCGGCTGCCTTCGGCTGCACTTCAGTCACTCACTGCTGTTCGGCATCTAGAAGAGAATAGACGGAACAGCAGCGAGTAGCCTGTCGGAGGTTCGGCTTAGCCAATCCAGATGTTGGATCGGCTGAGTCGAACTCCTTCTGCATTTCGGGTCGGCCGAATATGCTGATCATGTTCGGCCGATCGGAAGCCACCCGATGTACGGCTGATTTCAGCCGACATACGGCTGAAATCAGCAGTACCTGCCTAAAGTGAATAGCCAAACAGCGTTCGACTCACTTCACTTTAGGTCGGTCATTCACTCGGCTGCCTACAGCAGCTTAGTGAATAGACCCCATAATATGCAAATATATATCTATATGTACTGCATATTTATTTAAGTATTTATTGGTTACTTTTTATAAATGTTTTTTGCTTTACTATTTTTTATTACACTTTTGGACAGATTGTAACTATACTGCTGATGTAAACAGAATGCATAAACATATAAAAAAATACTTTTTTTTATAAGCTAGGAGGCAAATTGGTGGGAGGAGGTAGGGGGTTGGTACTTCTGCTTTGTCTGGAAATGGGTTTTAACATCATGTACAAATGATTCAATGTGAATTTTATTGCTTAATAAAAATCTTGCAATTTTCTATAACAAATATTATTAAAGTGGTAGTAAATCTCTGCATGAAGGGCAAGTGTTTGCCTTAATGTGCAAGTATGCACACCATTGTCTTACAAGAGTGTGCCCTTCTCTAGCACTGTCAGAATGATCATTGATCCCTCAGTTTGTGCCCCACTGACATCATTTTCGCTTCTGACACTTCTGGGAACACAGACATATTCTTTGGCTATTGGGTGGCCACTGATATTACATCCTCCCAGGCATCAGGCCCATTCATGACATCTTTGAGATACCATGAATTGGCAGAGTGTGTACACTCCACGGCGCATGCGCCGTAAAGTGTACATAAAAAATACAAAAATCACCGTAATTTTGTAATCTTTTATTATAATTTATATTTTGTATTATGATAAGTGTATGTTGTTAATTTATGAAATTATAATATGGAGCATACGCATTGCTCTTTTATTTAACGTGTCTTTTTTTCAAAATATACATGACTAAGCTCTCTAGAAAGTAATTGCCATGGATACTTGAAGACACGTTTTATTTACTTGGTTTAAACCTTCTTTTAAAAAGTACTGAAACTACTCAAGAACACCATTAGTTTTGCTGGACAGCTTGGTCTGCAAGCAAATTTTAGAACATATTAGAAAAAATGCTTGTGAAATAAAAAAATCTGAATTATCATACTATATATAATATTATTAATAGCAGTGTACTGATTCATACAATTTCCAATCAATATAAATACTTATATACATACCAATTAATATAAATGCCTTTATACAATAAATACCAATTAATATAGTACCAAAATCAGGGAACATGTACTAACCGCATACAATGATCAAAGTACCATATTTTTCACTGGTCCTTTAAGTTACCAATATGATACCATTTAATCATGCTCTTACCCTTATACATGTACTTCTACTTATTTTAATGCTTTAAAACCAGTGTTGTGGAAATTGGGGGAATTAGCAGCAGCAAATATTAACAACAGATTAACAGTAGTTTACTTTGAACATCACTTACTATTGATACTCAAAGTTCTTTAAATATACATCTATAAATATAGGTACCTTTTCATTTGTTTCTCTATTTCTTGTCTCTGCAGGGAAGAATGTTACCTACAGAGGATGTTACAGACCCCCAGAAAATGGGACACAGATATTCCCTGCCTCCTTTCTCAATCTAACAACAGAAATGTGCTCAGAAATTTGCTCCATTAAAGTAAGTGGATTTTATATTATAGCCTTTTGGACTAATATTATGCTCTCTGATATCATATATGACATGTTTGTTGTGGCCCTACCTATAAGTGTGGCTTCAGGCAAAACATTTTTTTTTTTTGGGGGGGGGGGGGGGTATAAAAAGAGAACAAAAAACTAATAAGGGTTTCAACTATTCACTATCCAAAATGTAAAGAAGAGAGTATTGCCTAGCAATAGTCCAAGTATTGGCTACAACAGTCTGAGTCTACTTCTACTGAGGCACAGGGCAGAGATTAGTGCCGGAAAGAGACAAGGCCTAAACCTGGGCAGAAGTTGAGCCTAGTGTGTAATCTAGCACCAGGATTTAAGCGGGTACACAGGGTCATAGGGATTGTTTTAGGACTATAAAAGGTACATTTCAGCACTAAAGTCACGTTAGAAAGGTCAGGTTCACTTTAAAGAAAATCTCTACTGGGTCTGCCATTGGAGACCTCACCCTTTGAAAATGATGGCCCCTACCTTCAATATTATGGCAGTCCAAAGTATTCAATACAGTTCGTAACTAAGATGGAAACAAATATGCAGATTAGAAGTTCTAAATTCTCTCCGACTGTTTCGATCTGTAAATCATCTGCATTCAGATAACTAGCATTTTTAGAAGGTTGCCAATAGTAGCTAAAATATTACTCTCAGAACATATTTCTTTAATAGTTACAGTATTATAAATAAGTGAGGACACCATTACAGCAACATTTGCTGGGACTTTTAAGGTGCTATAGTGATGAACTACACATGTACACAAAAACATAAAACCATCTTTTCATTATAAAAGAAGTGTAAAAAAAAGCACAAAACATGAAAGGGCTTGAATCTTATTGCATATACAACAAAAAACACATACATTTAAGACTATTTGCTACTACCACATATACTACCCTGGATATCCAACCAGTCAGCACTTCACAAATTCTATAGTATGAGTTCTATTGATTTTATATCACACTGGTTTCAATGGTTGATTAGGGGTAGTACTCAATGCATATCTTAGACCTATGGATCTGCTTCTCATGAGATGGATCGAGCATATATAAATATTAAACGGTTTAGAAGCAGATAAGGTGAGATTTAAAATTATATGTTCAAGGCCAGCAGAATGAGTCACCAAACACTTTATGATTAATCTGGCCAGATTGGGATTTCCTGTTGAATAACATGCCCATTTAGCTGCTGCCAATATAGTTCTCATGGTCACCAAGATTGCCCTACACATAAAAGTAATCTGTCTAAATCAAGGTATCTTGTTATGCTATTAGGCTTGTAATATCCAAACAGACAGAGCAGGATGTCAAATGCAGTAATCAGACCAGGTAGATTGGTGCCAAAAATGAAATAGTGCATGCTGTCATATAGCTGCAATCTCTTATTGGAACCCCTCACACCTAGGAAGAGGATACACATGGGCCCCCAACAAGACAGTATTGATAATACAAAAAGTATATTATATTGTAAATCAATATATTGATTTACTATTGTAAATCATTGTATTATCCTTTACCAATTCTAATATTCCCCTTAGAAATTTGTGAAATATTACCAAAACCCATTCAACACAACACCAAGCAGTAGGAACTGTAGTGCAAATGAAGCCTGGTTATGCTTGTTATGGGACTTTCATAGTGGAAATCTAGCTAAATTGTTTTTTGAGTTGTAGATAGAATGGCAGAAGGTTAACACCCAGTTAGATTTTATTGCCATCTTTCTTTTAAATGAGGGCATTTGATCGCACTTACTGTACCAGTTCACAGACAAAGTCAGAATAAATCTCTCTGACAGGGACACATAGCAGTACAAATCTGACAGAGTTTCTTAATTTTTGTTGTTGTTGTTGTTGTTTGTGTCCCTTTTGGAAGGTTTTTGCTCTCTTCCAGTACTGGTGAGTACATTGGAAGTGAGGAGAAATATTCCTGATTGCTTTTCAGACAGCAATAAAAACCCGAGAGAAGTTCTTGCCTTTCTGCAAATTGTACAGAAGTAATAATTATATAGCACACTTTCCTTACTCCTTATTCACTTATGTGTCTTTGGCAGATTTATTCTTTTTATACCTTGTTTAAGGTAGTATTAAACTCTCGAAGATTTTTGCAATAATGAATCCTGATCAAACAAATATGTGTTGCCTAGCAAAGTAATTCTTTACATTTTTGCCCGAGCACTCAGTCATGTTTCCGAACAGCTCCAATTCTCTCAGCTCCACTACCCTAAACTTCCTGTTGAACACAAGATCACAAGGAACAGTGCAGTCTCCAGCAGCTATTCATTTGCTAGCTTACAGAAGGGAGGAGTGGGGAGCAAGAACAGGATACCAGGGCCAATGCCAATGCTCAGGGCACCAGCTGATATTGCAGGAAACTAAAACTTTTAAACATCAAGAAGTAGCATCCATTCTACAGTAAGTGATTTCAGCATTTGAAATAGCCTAAAAAACTTTTGATCTTAAAGCGTGGTTCACTCTGGTTTATATCTCTTATCTGTTGAACAATTCATCAAGATTGCAGTTTAGAAAAACATGTGAGTTCCCCTGCTATCGAATTGTCTTGAAATAGTAAGAATTAATAAAATGATCTTTGCTGTTTGAGTGGTAGAAAATATATGAGATTTCTTTTTATATTCTTATAATGACCTACTGCTGTGAAAAGAGTTCACTGAATAGAAGTATGAATACATTCACTGTGGCTAACAAGTAAGAATGGTATCGGCTATATAGATATGTCTTACATATGCATTGATCTAGTTTACAATGTTATGCGATTATAACTTTAATTGTCTCACATTAAGAGTCCACATTGTAAAAGGCTATCAAAAGACCCTCATAATGAGTGCATAGCGGCTACATTAAAAAGCATGTAAACTCATTACAGGACATTAATATATATCAAAGCCTTTGTAGTTCTTTGAAGTAATAATAACTTTGTAAGCTATAATAAAAAAGCTCTTTTTTTAAAAAAAAACAGACACAAAGATAGCAATTCTGGTTGGATAATGCCTGACAAGATAATAGATTTGAGGATTATATTCAGCACTGTTGTGTATTCACTTATAGCTGATAGGGGATGGTCTGAAAACATGTTGTATGTGTGTGTGAGTAAAAGGGATATCTGGGAAAGGCAAAAAAGCCTCATTGATTTTTGTTGGTGTTGAAACCTTCGCAGTTAGCAGTCAACCGGCAAAGCAAAAGGATAGCAATGACTTCTTTATAAAAAGGACAGATTTACTGTAATTACTGGCATTGCTTTCTTTGCCACCCCAAAAGTGATGTATCAGCAGTATGATAAAAAGTAAAATAACATACCAGCCTACATCCGTAGTTTCCAGTTTTGCTACACACTTTGGAAGTGTAATTTCTCCTGTTGTACAAGGCCTCACAATTGTCATGCTACATCCTGTGTGTCCTTTATACACATCGTGTGAAAAATAAAGTACACCCTCTTTGAATTCTATGGTTTTACATATCAGGACATAATAAAAAGTCATCTGGTCCTCATCAGGTCTTAAAATTAGGTAAATACAACCTAAAATGAACAACAACACATGACATATTACACTGCATCATTATTTATTTTACAAACATAAAGCCAAAATGGAGACATAGGGGTCTATTCACTAAGCTGCCGAGGGCAACCGAGTGAATGACCGATCTGAAGTAAAGTGAGCCGAACACTGTTCGGCTATTCACTTCAGGCTGGTACGGCTGATTTCAGCCGTACATCGGCTGAAATCAGCCGTACATCGGCTTGCTTCGCGTGGCTTCGGGTCGGACCTGATGGGGAACTGCAGCAGAGGGCGGGTACAATGCTAGTTTACTATTGGCTATTGCATATTGAAATAGCCAATAGTAATGTCCCAATGGGAAAATTCTTTTTTTTTTTTTTTATATTCTGACATCGCTCGTGTCAGAATAAAGAAAAAAAGACACAGCAGTGTTTCTCTCCTTGGTGGCCGGGAGCAGGAGACTCCCAGGCCGGCAGGGAGAGTTAGCTGTTTGGAGCTGTTTAGCAGGTAACCAGGGACACTGATCTCTCTGAAAGTGGCCGGAGCCAGGCGTAAGATCACAGCTGGCTCTGCCCAGCTGTCAGAAGCAGGCTGTCGGCCGGCCAATGGCTGGCCGCTCGGCCAGCTTTGGCTTTCAGCACGGCTCAGCCGAGCCGATGCATATGCGTTCGGCCATGATCTGGAGCTGTACGGGCCATTGTGAATAGCCCGTACAGCACCCCTTCGGTTCTACTGAACCGAAGGGGTCCTGGGGCCGTAGCTAGCCGAAGGATCGGCCGAAGCTGCGGCCAGATCCTTCGGCGCGTTCGTGAATAGACCGCATTGTGTGTGAAAAATTAAGTATACCCTTATAGCTTCCATAGGAATTAGGAGGCTAAGTACCAGCCAGTTGCTGCTAATCAAATGTCCTTGATTAATTGATAATAAACAAGTGTGACCACCTCTATAAAATCCGATGTTGTAGCAGTTTGCTGGTCTGGAGCATTCAGGTGTTTGTTAACACAGTGCCAAGGAGGCAAGACATCAGCAATGATCTTAAAGAAGCAATTGTTGCTGCCCATTAATCTAGGGAGGGTTATAAGGCCATTTCCAAACAATTTAAAGCCCATCCTTCTATTCACAAGTGGAAACATTTTAGACAGTTGCCAATCTTCCCAGGAGTGGACGTCCCAGCATATTCACCCCAAGGTCAGACCATGCAATGCTCAGAGAAATTGAAAAAAAACAAGAGTTACATCTCAGACTCAAAAGACCTCACTTAGCATGATAAATATAAAAGTTCATGACAATACAATTAGAAAAAGACTCAACAAGTATGGTTTGTATGGAAGATTTGCCAAGAGAAAGCCTCTTCTCTCTAAAAAGAACAATGCAGCATGGTTTAGGTTTGCATAGTTGTATCTGAACAAACCACAATGTCCTTTGGACAGACAAGACAAAAGTGGAGGTGTTTGGCTATAATGCACGGCA